CAGCTTGGTCAGTATAATAAACCCGCTTTGGGCATATAAACATCCAGCTTGGGCATTAATTTAAAAATCCAGCTTGGGCAGTATAATAACATCCAGTTGGGGCAGTATAATAACATCCGCTTGGTCAGTAATAACATCCAGCTTGGGCGAAAAAAACATTCCTGGCAGTTATTAAAAATCCACTTGGTCAGTATAATAACATCCAGCTTGGGATATAAAAAATTTTGCTTGGGCAGTATAATAAATTTAGCTTGGTCAGTAAAAAAACATTCAGCTTGGTCCTATAATAACACAGCTTGGTCGTTAATAAATCCAGTTTCAGTATAATAACATTCAGTTGGTCAGATAATAACATCCACTTGGTCAGTATAATAAGTCCAGCTTGGGCATAAATAACATCCACTTGGTCAGTTAATAAAATTCAGCTTGGTCATTTAATAACATCCACTTGGTCATTAAAACATTCAGCTTTGGTCAGTATAATAACATTCAGCTTTTGGGCAATAATAAATTCAGCTTGGTCGTATAATAACATCCAGCTTGGGCTTAATAACATTCAGCTTTAGTATAATAACATCCACTTGGTCAATAATAAAAATCCAGCTTGGTCAGTATAATAAAACCCTTGGTCAGTATAATAAAATCCCCTTGGGGCATATAATAACATCAGCTTGGTCGTATAATAACATTAGGGTTGGGCAGTATAATAACATTTAGCTTGGCAGTAAAATAACATCCACTTGGGGCAGTATAAAAACATTCAGCTTGTCAGTATAATAACATTCAGCTTGGTCATAAAAAACATCCAGCTTGGCATATAAAACGTCCAGCTTGGTCAGTATAAAACATCCGTTTGGGCAGATAATAAAAATTCAGCTTGGTCAGTATAATAACATCCGCTGGGGCATATAAAAAATTCAACTTTGGGCCCGTATAAAACATTCAGCTTGGTCAGTATAATAACATTCAGCTTTGGCAGTATAAAACATCCACTTGGTCAGATAATAACATTCAGTGGTCAGTATAATAACTCCCTTGGTCAGTATAATAACATCCACTTTGGGCGTAAAAAACATCCAGCTTGGTCAGTATAAAAACATTCAGCTTGGTCAGTATAAACATTCAAATTGGTCATATAAAAACACAGCTTGGTCTAAATAACATCCCCGCTTGGTCTATAATAAATTTTGGTCCCTATAAAAACATTAGCTTTGGGCATAAAAACATTTACTTGGTCATATAATAAATCCAGCTTGGTCGTAAATAAATTCTCTTGGGCAGTAAAATAACATCCAGCTTGGTCAGTATAATAACTCCATTTGGGCGTATAAAAAAAAATCCGCTTGGTCTGTTAATAACATTCAGCTTGGGCAGTAAATAAAAAATCAGCTTGGCAATAATAACATCCCTTGGGGCAGTATAATAACATTCAGCTTGGTCAGTATAATAACATCCAGCTTGGTCAGTATAATAACATCCAGCTTGGTCAGTATAATAACATCCAGCTTGGTCAGTATAAAAAAAATCCACTTTGGGCAGTATAATAACAATTTTACTTGGGCGTATAATAAAATTTTAGCTTGGGGCAGTATAATAAAATCCAGCTTGGTCAGATAATAACCTCCCGCTTGGTCAGTATTATAACATCCGCTTGTCAGTATAATAACATCCAGCTTGGTCAGTATAATAACATCCAGCTTGGTCAGTATAATAACATCCAGCTTGGTCAGTATAATAACATCCAGCTTGGTCAGTATAAATAAACATCCAGTCTTGGTCAGTATAATACATCCAGCATTGGTCCATATAATAACATCCAGCATGGTCAGTATAATAACATACAGCTTGGTCGGGGGGGAGTATAATAACTCCAGGCTTGGTCAGGTATAATAACATCCAGCTTGGTCAGTATAATAACATCCAGCTTGGTCAGTATAATAACCTCCAGCTTGGTCAGTATAATAACATCCAGCTTGGTCAGTATAATAACATCCAGCTTGGTCAGTATAATAACATCCAGCTTGGTCAGTATAATAACATCCAGCTTGGTCAGTATAATAACATCCAGCTTGGTCAGTATAATAACATCCAGCTTGGTCAGTATAATAACATCCAGCTTGGTCAGTATAAAACATCCAACTTGGTCAGTATAAATAACGTCCGCTTGGTCAGTAGTAATAACCTCCAGCTTGGTCCAGTATAATAAGCATCCCAGCTTGGTCCATTATAATAACATCCAGCTTGTCAGTATAAAACATCCAGCAGTTGCCGTATAATAACTCCAGCTTGGTCAGTATAATAACATCCAGCTTGGTCAGTATAATAACATCCAGCTTGGTCAGTATAATAACGTCCAGCTTGGTCAGTATAATAACATCCAGCTTGGTCAGTATAATAACATCCAGCTTGTATATAATAACGTCCAGCTTTGGCAGTATAATACATCCAGCTTGGTCAGTATAATAAACCAGCTTGGCAGTATAATAACATCCAGCTTGGACAGTAAATAACATCCAGCTGGTCAGTTAAAAACATCCAGCTTGGTCAGTATAATAACATCCAGCTTGGTCAGTATAATAACATCCAGCTTGGTCAGTATAATAACATCCAGCTTGGTCAGTATAATAACATCCAGCTTGGTCAGTATAATAACATCCAGCTTGGTCAGTATAATAACATCCAAGCTTGGTCAGTATAAATAACATCCGCTTTTGTCAGTATAATAACACCAGCTTGGTCAGTATAATAACATCCAGCTTGGTCAGTATAATAACATCCAGCTTGGTCAGTATAATAACATCCAGCTTGGTCAGTATAATAACGTCCAGCTTGGTCAGTATAATAACATCCAGCTTGGTCAGTATAATAACATCCAGCTAGGTCAGTATAATAACATCCAGCTTTGTCAGTATAATAAACATCCAGCTAGGTCAGTATATATAACAACATGCCAGCCTTGGTCAGTTATAATAACAAACCACTTGGTCAGTAATAATAACATCCAGCATGGTCAGTATAATAACGTCCAGCTTGGTCAGTATAATAACATCCAGCTTGGTCAGTATAATAACATCCAGCTTGGTCAGTATAATAACGTCCAGCTTGGTCAGTATAATAACATCCAGCTTGGTCAGTATAATAACATTCAGCTTGGTCAGTATAATAACATCCAGCTTGGTCAGTATAATAACATCCAGCTTGGTCAGTATAATAACATCCAGCTTGGTCAGTATAATAACGTCCAGCTTGGTCAGTATATAATAACAATTCAGCTTGTTCAGTAAAAACGCACAGCTTGTCAGATATATAATAAACCGTCCAGGCTTGGTCAGTAAAATAACGTCCGGCTTGGTCAGTAAAAAATAACTCCAGCATGGTCAGTATAATAGCATCCAGCTTGTCAGTATAAAGACATCCAGCTTGTCGAATAGCATAACACCAGCTTGGACAGTATAATAACGTCCAGCTGGTCCCCCAACGGTATAATAACGTCGCAGCATGGTCAGTATAATAGACGTCCAGCTTGTCCGAGTGATAATAACATTTCCAGCTTGTCAGTAAAATAACATGGGCCAGCTGTCAGTATAATATCGGCTCGGCGAGCGTTTGGGTGTCAGTATACAGGTGCAACATCAGCGGAGATGGTCAGTATGGGAGAGTAACGTGGGTCCAGCTTGGTCAGTATAATAACATCCAGCTTGGTCAGTATAATAACATCCAGCTTGGTCAGTATAATAACGTCCAGCTTGGTCAGTATAATAACATCCAGCTTGGTCAGTATAATAACATCCAGCTGGTCATATAATAACTCCAGCTAGTCGTATAATAACATCCAGCTTGGGACAGTATAATAACCATCCAGCTTGGGTCAGTATAATAACCTCCAGCTTGGTCAGTATAATAATAACCAGCTTGTCATAATAATATTAATAAACCCAGCTTGGTCAGTATAATAACATCCAGCTTGGTCAGTCATAATAACATCCACTGTGGTCGTATAATACCAACCAGCCTTATGTCAGTATAATAACATCCAGCTTGGTCAGTATAATAACATCCAGCTTGGTCAGTATAATAACATCCAGCTTGGTCAGTATAATAACATCCAGCTTGGTCAGTATAATAACATCCAGCTTGGTCAGTATAATAACATCCAGCTTGGTCAGTATAATAACATCCAGCTTGGTCAGTATAATAACATTCAGCTTGGTCAGTATAATAACATCCAGCTTGGTCAGTATAATAACATTCAGCTTGGTCAGTATAATAACATCCAGCTTGGTCAGTATAATAACATTCAGCTTGGTCAGTATAATAACATTCAGCTTGGTCAGTATAATAACATCCAGCTTGGTCAGTATAATAACATTCAGCTTGGTCAGTATAATAACATTCAGCTTGGTCAGTATAATAACATCCAGCTTGGTCAGTATAATAACATTCAGCTTGGTCAGTATAATAACATCCAGCTTGGTCAGTATAATAACGTCCAGCTTGGTCAGTATAATAACATTCAGCTTGGTCAGTATAATAACATTCAGCTTGGTCAGTATAATAACATTCAGCTTGGTCAGTATAATAACATCCAGCTTGGTCAGTATAATAACATCCAGCTTGTCAGTAGAATAACATCCTGCTTGGTACAGTAGAAAAACATCCAGCTTGGTCATATAATCACATTCACTTGGTCAGTATAATAACATCCAGCTTGGTCAGTATAATAACGTCCAGCTTGGTCAGTATAATAACATCCAGCTTGGTCAGTATAATCATTAAAACACACAACACACTATCTACAACTTCCTGAATAGCTCTTAAATTTTCCTTTGATCTTTTACGTCAAACACCTAATTATTTGTTATATGAAGGTGGACCAAGCTTCTGGCAATAATCAAGTTTGATCTAAGGGTAAGGTAGCTCCAATTCCCTGGATCAAGAGACCTTCATCAGTATAATGACTCTCAGCCCTCCTTAAAGGTAAATGTAATTTAAAAACTTACCCAAAAAAGGATCCAATTACATTGGCGAGGCCTAAAGCGATGATCTCTTGTGTAGCATCAAAGGTTCTTCCTTTAGCAAAGGCACTGACAATGGCAATAAGGTCAAGAATGGCAATGAATGGCACCATTACTAAACCAATGCCAATGTCGCTCATGATCTCCGTAAATGTTATGGTCTGGTTATTGATCTCAGTGGAGAATGGTGGAAGAGAAGCAGCTGGGATTCCAGGCTCCACGTAACCTCAAACGTCAAAAAATAGCATATTAATTTTTTTTTATAAATTTTCCAGCGTGCCCAGAATCAAATCTCAGGATAAACGAAAAAAAAAAACAGGCTTCTCTTTTTCTCAACCGTTCCCTTCCAGTCGTCCCCTTCCCAGTCACCCCCCTTCCAGCTGTTCCCTTCCAGCTGTTCCCTTCCAGCTGTTCCCTTCCAGCTGTTCCCTTCTCAGCCGAACCCCTTCCAGCCGTCTCCTTCCCAGCCGCCCCTCCAGTCCCCAGCTTCTTTCCAGTGTCCCTTCCAGCACACCCTCCCAGCCTCCCTTCGAGCTGTCCTCTTAACTAAGCAGTCCCTTCACACTAAACACTTCGACTGTGCCTCACGGGTACTTGTTAATAATCAAGGTTTCAAACTAAACAATTCAGATAAGTAAAGACTCACGTACAGTGGTGTCATGATTTAACAATTTAGAAATCAAGAATAAACACAGTGATAATATAAGTGAAAATCTAAGCTATACATGATGTAAGATCAAAATTTAACACGCAAGTCAATAGTATTATAATCTATAATAATAATATATATATAATAATAATATTTCTTTATATATCTATATATATATATATATATATATATATATATATATATATATATATATATATATATATATAAAACTACAGTATACACACAAGTACATAAAACTAAATACTTTTATAGTATACCTTTACCCTAGCCAGCCTACCCAGGAGAACCTTTAAGGTGAATGAGGAGGAAAGTTTGCAATAAGGAATATTGAAAATATAAATAATCTATAAAATTATATATATCAAATTGCAGTATGTACTACCATCCTGCAAAACTGTGCAGTCTACAACCAGACTAACATGTCCGGACTCGTGGAACTTCGTGTTATCAAGAACTGCAAGAAGGCCCTGTCACGTGCCTTCAGCATTCTATGGAGAGGGAGCATGGACACAGGGTCGTCCCACACACACTAAAAATAACAGACATAGCCCCACTCCACAAAGGTGGCAGTAAAGTAATTGCAAAGAACTACAGACCGATAAGAAGCAAGATCGCCAACCACCTAGATACCCATCAGTTGCACAACCCAGGACAACACGGGTTTAGAGCAGGTCGCTCCTGTCTGCCACAGTTACTGGACCACTATGACAAGGTCCTGGATGCTGTAGTGGATAAACAAAATACAGATGTAGTATACACAGACTTGGCAAAAGCTCTCGATAAGTGTGACCATGGTGTAATAGCACACAAAATGGGCGATAAAAGAATAACAGGAAAAGTTGGTAGATGAATCTATAACTTCCTGACAAATAGAACACAAAGAGTAATAGTAAACAGAGTAAAGTCTGAGACAGCTACGGTGAAAAGTTCTGTTCCACAAGGCACAGTACTCGCTCCCATTCTGTTTCTCATCTTTATTGCCAAGAGATTTTTATTATAATCAAAAAGAAGCGCTAAGCCACAAGGGCTATACAGTATAGCCATGACAGTGTCCGCCATCAAACACCACAACAATGTATCTACTTCATCTGCTAGAAAATGTTATAGAATGGATAACGAGAACCTTCAAAACTAGGGACGCCAAGCCCATGAGGATTTTCTTCAAATCGCTTGTGCTCTCTAGGCTGGAATATTGCTGGACACTTACGGCCCCCTTCAAGGCTGGCAACATTGCTGACCTGAAGAATGTACAGAGAACTTTCACGGCACCTAAATTACTGGGAAAGGTTGAAATTCCTTGATTTGTATTCCTGAAAGACAGGCGAGAAAGATAAATGATAATATACATTTAGAAAATCTTAGAGGGATTAGTACCAAACTCGCACACGAAAATCACTCCCTACGAAAGCAAAGATTCGGCAGGAGATGCAACATTTCCCCAATGAAAAGCAGGGGCGCCACGAGTACGCTAACAGACAATATAGTAAGCGTAAGGGGCCCAAGACTGTTCAACTGCCTCCCAGCATACATAACGGGGATTACCAATAGACCCCTGGCTGTCTTCCAGAAGGCACTGGACGGGCACTACAGTCAATACCTGATCAACCGGGCTGTGGTTCGTACGTTGGTTTATCTGCTGCTAGCAGTAACAGCCTCGTTGATAAAACCCTGATAAACCACAAGGCCTGGTCTCAGACCGGGCCACTGGGGCTTTGACCCTCGAAACCCTCTCCAGGTAGACTCCACCACTGATATTAAATCAGGAAAATATTTTATGGTCTGCCCAAGTTGGAAACATCTTTGGGATAAAATTACATCTATACTAAAAGACAGGAACACCAACAAAACAGCATCATTCCTAGAACACATGACAGTCTTCTATAACAGCTGCAGAAATAAAAGGAGTGGGGCAGATGGGGCTGTCACCCTTGGGGCTGGTGCTGTCTTGGAAGATAGCACTTGTAAGAATGTAGACATGACAGTGCACAAGATGATGATGGTGCTGGTCTGGAGGACAGTGCACCAGATGGTGATGGTGCTGGTCTGGAGGACAGTGCACCAGATAGTGATGGTGCTGGCGTCTGTGAGGCAGTCGGGACAGTGCACCAGATATGTGATGGTGCTGGTCTGCAGGACAGTGCACAAGATGGTGATGGTGCTGGTCTGGAGGACAGTGCACCAGATGGTGATGGTGCTGGTCTGGAGGACAGTGCACCAGATAGTGATGGTGCTGGTCTGCAGGACAGTGCACAAGATGGTGATGGTGCTGGTCTGCAGGACAGTGCACAAGATGGTGATGGTGCTGGTCTGGAGGACAGTGCACCAGATAGTGATGGTGCTGGTCTGCAGGACAGTGCACAAGATGGTGATGGTGCTGGTCTGGAGGACAGTGCACAAGATAGTGATGGTGCTGGTCTGGAGGACAGTGCACAAGATGGTGATGGTGCTGGTCTGGAGGACACTGCACCTGATGGTGATGGTGATGGTCTGGAGGACAGTGCACCTGATGGTGATTCTGGGTCTGGAGGACATGCACTATGGTGATGGTGCTGGTCTGGAGGACATGCACCTATTGGTGATGGTGTCTGGAGGACAGTGCACCTTGCACAAGATGGTGATGGTGCTGGGTCTGGAGGGCAGTGCACAAGATAGTGATGGTGCTGGTCTGGAGGACTGTGCACAAGATGATGACGGTGCTGTTCTGGAGGACAGTGCACAAGATGATGATGGTGCTGGTCTGGAGGACAGTGCACAAGATGATGATGGTGCTGGTCTGGAGGACAGTGCACAAGATGATGATGGTGCTGGTCTGGAGGACAGTGCACCAGATATTGATGGTGCTGGTCTGGAGGACTGTGCACCAGATGGAGTTGGTGCTGGTCTGGAGGACTGTGCACCAGATGGAGATGGTGCTGGTCTAGAGGGCTGTGCACCACATGGAGATGGTTCTGGTCTTGAGGACAGTGCACAAGATGGGGATGGTGCTGCTCTGGAGGACAGTGCACCAGATAGTGATGGTGCTGGTCTGGACGACAGTGCACCAGATAGTGATGGTGCTGGTCTGGAGGACAGTGCACCAGATAGCGATGGTGCTGGTCTGGAGGGCAGTGCACCAGATAGCGATGGTACTGGTCTGGAGGACTGTGCACTTGATGGTGATGGTGCTGACCTGGAGGACAGTGCACCAGATAGTGATGGTGCTGGTCTGGAGGACAGTGCACCAGATAGCGATGGTGCTGGTCTGGAGGACAGTGCACCAGATAGCGATGGTGCTGGTCTGGAGGACAGTGCACCAGATAGTGATGGTGCCGGTCTGGAGACTGTGCACAAGATGGTGATGGTGCTGTCCTTGAGGGCAGTGCACCAGATAGTGATGGTGCTGGTCTGGACGACAGTGCACCAGATAGTGATGGTGCTGGTCTTGGAGAGACAGTGCACCAGGTAGCGAAGGTGCTGGTCTGGAGTACAGTGCACCAGATATCAATGGTGCTGGTCTAGAGGACAGTGCACAAGATGGTGATTGTGCTGGCCTGGAGGATAGTGCATCAGATAGTGATGGTGCTGGTCTGGAGGAACAAGTGCACAAAAAATGTGATGTGCTGTCTGGAGGACAGTGCACCAGATAGTAATGGTGCTGGTCTGGAGGACATTGCACCAGATAGCGATGGTGCTGGTCTGGAGGACAGTGCACCAGATAGTGATGGTGCTGGTCTGGAGGACAGCGCACCAGATAGTGATGGTGCTGGTCTGGAGGACAGTGCACAAGATGGTGCTGGTCTGGAGGACAGAGCACCAGATAGCGATGGTGCTGGTCTGGAGGACAGTGCACCAGATAGCGATGGTGCTGGTCTGGAGGACAGTGCACCAGATAGTGATGGTGCTGGTCTGGAGGACAGTGCACAAGATGGTGCTGGTCTGGAGGACAGTGCACCAGATAGTTATGGTGCTGGTCTGGAGCACAGTGCACAAGATGGTGCTGGCCTGGAGGACAGTGCACCAGATAGTGATAGTGCTGGTCTGGAGGACAGTGCACCAGATGGAGAATCTGGCTCTGGTGATGAAACAGGTGAAGACAATGCTATACAAATTCCCGAGGTATAGCGTAGAATTACTGCTGGAGACAGAATAAAGGGGAACGATGCTTTGGGGAACAGTGTTGATACATTTCCAGAAAAAAACTGGTGTAAGCAGTGATGTTAGTACAGTGACTGTAGGAAATAGGGAGATGGAAAAAATTCTAATCTATGCAAATTCTTTGCCATAGGTATCTGTAGGCATGAAACGTCTGGAAAAACAGAAAGAACTGAGACAAGATGGGAGTTACGTAGATGACAGTTAAGAAATAAGTGAGATACTGATTCCCAGTGTAATTCAGTGTTTAGTGAGCCATTAACCGGACTAAGAGCCGAAAATCTAAACGGATTTTTTATGACTGATACTCAAAATTTGGTCAGTTCGAAAATTTTCTTTATCTTAACCCCACAAGACTTCGAATAAACAATAAATGACGTCCATGCACTCTGCCCCAGGCCCAGACTCATGGAACTCTGTGTTCATCAAGAACTGCGAGAAGCCTCTTTCACGTGCCTTCAGCATTCTATGGAGAGGAAGCATGGACACAGTGGTCATCCCACACTCACTAAAAGCAACAGACATAGTGAAGGAAGGTGGGGCTAAGGTGGTAGAAAAGCAATCTTTGAAAGGGTTCTAAGAAGCAAGATCGCCACCAGCCTAGATATCCATCAGTTACACAACTCAGGGCAACATGGGTTTAGAGCACGTTGCTCCTGTCTGTTCTAACAAACTAGATTCATGTACCAATTTTTCCTGTTATTCCTTTATCACGCATTTTGTGTGCTATTACACCATGGTCACACTTGTCGAATGCTTTTGCAAAGTCTGTGTATACTACATCAGCATTTTGTTTGTCCTCTAGAGCATCCAGAACCTTGTCATAGTGGTCCAGTAGTTGGGTTGTGTAAATGATGGGTATCTAGATGATTGACGATCTTGCTTCTTAGAACCCTTTCAAAGATTTTTATTGGGACGTTACCGCTATTGGTCTGTAATTCTTTTCTTTTTGCTTTACTGCCCCCCTTTGTGGAGTGGGGCTATGTATGTTATTTTAAGTTCCTTTGACATTAATTTTGCCAAAACAAAGGAATTTAGCAAGGCGAGCCTTTACTGATAAACCTTTACGTGTAAGTTACATTCATCACTACAGGGCAACACAGCCATATAAACCTTTCACAACGAGTAACTTACATCAGAAGCTATTGAGGGAACAATTACAAGGATATATACTCCAGCAATGTGTACAAGTTACGCCAGTCACTATAGAGTATATGTACGCCATCGGATAAGTAAAGGGAAGATGGTGGGTGCCAGTGAAGGTATCAAGCAATACAGACAGGCGACTCGTGCTGGTTCAGTGTTCCTGAGTATATGGTGAATTACTTATTTTTTTCTTCTCGGTTTGATTACCTTGAGATTCTGTGTGGAAAATACTGTATATATTTTCCGGAAATACGGTAATTTATAGGTAAATAGATGCCCTATATTGTATTTTTAAAAGAAGTATGACATCGAAAATGGGAAACCTGCGGCTGGGGGAATCAGTCGCCATTGTTATTTTGAATTGGATACAACGTTAGTGTAACGGGAAGAATTTTTCGTGCTCTAGAGGTTAAAATTGGGTTGACACCTCTCAAATAGGAGGCGAAATTGTTGGATGTGCATTCCTGAATAACTTGAGATATCAGGCGACTGGACAAGACAGCTCCAGGAACCTCAGATAAGTCTGTTATGTTATAACTCTGGCCAGTTGTTATTTTCATGTATAGACAGTGAGGTTTTCTGAGTATGATACAACTTAATCTCCAGTTAAATTGGTGAGTGTTATGATTAAGATATATTCTCCTTCTGTTATATAAATGTGTGTATATACTATAATCCTTTTTTAATTTTAATATACAGTCCACAAATTTATATATTTACCAGCATTCCTGGTGATGTATATTTCATTTAATTAATAGGTCCAGAGCAACTTGTGGATATGACAGTGGTAGGTATGGAAGGGGGACATTTTTTGCGACCTAGGTGTCCCAAATTCCTACTTGTCTAACTGATAAATAATAATTATCTATGTTCATTTACTGTTATGTATATAATGATACATCCAAGTAAATGCAATTTTCCACATTCTGTGTTTTGGAGATAATTTACAAGTTTGTATCTCCACAAAAAGGTTTATATAACTGAAGTGTATATCATGCAACCAAGAACATCTTTAAACCATGGTATGGGTGGAATTAGAACCCATACCCGTACCATGGTTTGTTTGTAGTCATGTTATTAAGATTTCACGAGTCAAGACTAATATCCGGATATGTTTCCCTGTGAGGTTGGGAATAGTCAGGTGATGTACTCTCAGTCCAAATTGTGTACTCATCTTTCTTGCTATGTTTTCCCAACCACCGTAGGAACATAAGGGACCGGTAGAACAAACACAAATGGAATAAATATTCAAGAATTTCTGGGACATTTTCTGCTACTACAAAAATAATATAATTATGACTCACGGAACTATAATAACACGATTGCTAACAAATAAAAGAAAGGTGAGGCTTGAACCTTGGCTGTGAGTTTTATAACTCGCCAGCCATGAGTTCGAGCACAACCTGTTCTGTTATAATACAATATAAATCTTCCATCTTCAAGGCAGACTATAATATCTATGATACATATATACATAATATCAGCAGATCAATGTTTAAAATCATAACAGCATCTCACCTGAAATTATAAATGGCTGTTCATCCCCGTCGAGGTAATAGGCGATGACGGAAGAAATAATAACAACAATAGCATTGCGTCCAGCAGAGAGATAGAAAATAGTATTTCTTAAAACCCGCTGACGCAGACTACGACTGTTGTTGTCCAGACACGACCACCGCACACTGCGAACCTCCTGAATCAATTGAAATTAATTTGTAATTATAGCAATTGGATATTACATGTAGAAAAATGGATATATCTTATGGGTAGATCCTAGTAACAGTAGCAAAGTAGAATATTACACAATTTACCTAGACAGACTCATGATCTGAGACCGAGTCAAAGTCACGGAATAAATGAATCTCTCACAGATGACACCAACAGTGGCTGAAATATTTAAGGTAAAAGAACACAGGAGCAACTAATGAGACATTTAATGGTGCTACGTTTGTCTCTCCAGAAGCTTTATAAAGTCAGTGTAAATTATACAACGACCCAGAAGTTCAATAAATGGAATATGGTAATAAAGTTGGTAGAATTACCGACAATATGTAAAGTAAAAGGACACAAGTACAACTAATGTGACATTTATTGTGGAAACGTTTCGCTCTCCAGGAGCTTTATCAAGCCATTACAAACAATACATGGACACAGAGGGTATATAAAGGCTCAGAGTGAGGTGAATACTAGTGAGGTACCATTTCGATGTTCACTAGTGGTAGTAGTAGTAGTAGTAGTAGTAGTAGTAGTAGTAGTAGTAGTAGTAGTAGTAGTGGTAGTGACAAAAGTAATACAATATGGTAGAGCAATTAATTCGTACATGAGTAAAAGGATATAAAAGCTATTACTTGGGTAACATAAAAATAGGTTGGACAAATATAAACTGGAATGAGGCAGCTTGTTTCAGTGTTCACTCTCTGTGCTTTGTGTAGTATAACAGGAGAGACTATGTGATGACAGGGTTTACTGTTTTCAGGAGGATTCTGTGTCCATGTATTGTTTGTAATGGCTTGATAAAGCTCCTGGAGAGCGAAACGTTGCCACAATAAATGTCACATTAGTTGCACTTGTGTCCTTTTACTTTACAAATGGAATATGGTGGAAAATGGTATAAAACTCTCTTACGATGGATAATAAGCAAATGTATTATATTGCTATCTTTATTAACAGGATTCCACTATATTGCATTTATGTTTCTTTATATAAAGGGAACTTTGTGAGGTGCAGTTAGATGGTGAGGTGCAGGAAGACAGTGGGATAAGAACATAAGAATATAGGAACACTGCAGAAGGCCTACTGGCCCATACGAGGCAGGTCCTTATCAAAACGACATCTACCTAAAGCTACTCAAGAAATAACTCCCGTACCCCTTGACACCAATCAAACCCAGCCCCTCCCACTCATATATTTGTCCAGTCTCTTCTTAAAGCTACCCAAGGTCCTAGCCTCTATCACCCCACTGGGAAGACTGTTCCACGCATCTACAACTCTGTTAGAAAACCAGTACTTACCTATGTCCTTTCTAAATCTAAATTTATCCAACTTAAATCCATTATTCCTGGTTCTTACCTGGCGTCATCGAAGCTGAAAACTACTGTATTGACTGGAATCAAGGATTAGGAAATTCTATAACGTCCTCCAATGTGGTAAATAGACAAATTCCGCGTTAAACAACTATAATAAGGTTGTATGGGTGGAAAATAAGAGGATGTCAAATCTGGGCAGCATATTAACTGTCTTTTATAATTGTATGTAGCGGTTGGTCAAGTTTCCGTTGGCTGTTACTAGAGAGGTGTTTGGATGTGTTCTGTCAACAATAACTGTGGTAAGTTAATGTCTATAATTTGGTATTTATAATTAGGGTGATAATATTATCAAAGTGATTAGAATCTTACTCAATCTCTAAACACAACAGTCTATAATAATAACTAGTGATCCAGTTAACCATTTCTGGTGATCAAGTCGTTAAATTTATGTAATGTCCACGATTATAATATACCAGTTACTGGTGTAAATTGAATAATCAACAATTATTACAGGTCCAGCTTTGTGTGAGTGTAGTTTGGAGTGGGCATGAAGGAGGTGCAGTGTTGTGACCTTCTGTACCATAGTCCCACCTAGCTCTGGCCAAATTATATGCATGTAAAAATTCAGATTAGTGCCTGTGAATCTCATGCATGTAATTTCTCATAATAGATTTAGACTTTAATATATAGCTTAATAATAGGTTGCATTGAGTAGGGATACTAGAAAAACTGCGACACCTAGCATCTCAAAAAATGAGTCTATATGGGCTAGATCTTTCTTGGGAAAAAAAACACTCTTAGCAGCAACAGCTCTTACGAGACACAAACTACATAAAGCCAGCAGGTTTTCAAAATATTTCTGGCTGCCAACATCGTGCTTCAGAGGCATTCCCAATAAATCGTGGATACAAGTCTCTACGCCAGACCAGTTTCTGATACTCATTACTGTTTTTTGTCCCTAGTTATGTGGCCACTAAATACTGGGGAAACACTCCCCTCAAGGAAGGCTCCTTGACGCTGGTGAGGGGCTCTTGATCTAGGGAATTGGATCTGTGCTCCAGTTGGATCTGTGCTCCAGTTCCCTGAATTAAGCCTGAATGCCTTCCATCCCCCCATAGGCGCTGTATAATCCCACGGGTTTAGTGCTTCCCCCTTGATTATAATAATAATAATAATAATGGGGAAACACTCAGGAATAGTTATCTTACTGTTAAGAATCGTATCTACCACTAACCATCAGGTGATTCAGATGTTCTATAGGTCTTTTAGTTTACTGTTATGCAAATTGTGCCCTTAAGGCCACTTGTGAGACTGTGACACTTGGAGTCTCTGGGTATCTGTGTCGACGGTACTTGCTGAAGAGTACAACTCACAAGGGGCCAGATTACACAAATTTTCTCACACCCACTTGATTTTAAGGGGATGAAATAGAACATGTTTCTTTAGTTCTTTGTTAATGTTGTGGCCGGAGAACTAATCCGTGAGTTGTTGGCTGAAGAGAAAGAATTTCATCCAGTTGCAAGGGGAAAATTCTGGGTTCTCAGAGAGTGCGGTAGACCGCTGGCTACAGTTGCTAAGCTTCTTTTAGTCTTCCTCTCCTACCAGTGTCCTCCAGGTCTCTCTGACCTCATCCTGCCCATCTATGTACCTTGCTGTTCCAGTTTATTACTGCTGTGTTTCTAGTGCTGTCAGCTGCTATAGGGTTTATAAACTGGTCTCTCTTTTCGTTGGTGTTACTCTGACAGACTAAACCGTAACAACAAGATTTAGTGAGTCATGAAGGTGGTTTTGAAGGGACTTGATCAAGAGTGCGCCAAAGCGACGCTGGTGTGGGATTCATGTGTAAAAGGCTGCATTTGTCGTCACAGTGGTGGACCATGCTAACCTCCCCATGGTGTGTAGAAATATACATAGTTGGATGAATCTTATTAGCCAGCTGGCCGAGAAGTTAACACACTGGCCCGTGAGTTTTAGGACTTACAATGGGTAAAAGCCCCGCCCGTTCTCTGATTTAGGTGACAGGAGTGTTGCATTTACGTATTTTTTATAACTAGCCACCACTTTGATACAGCTTTATGTAGTTTATTGGTTAAGCATGTATCACATTCTTATGTTCATTTCTGTCGCAGTCCAAAGGTCTGTGTGATCCACCAGACTGTGGATGTCACGGATATCTGTGATTAACGTGGATTGGTGCTATAGGTTCTTTGGTTGATCTTCCATTTAGTTCCTTTGCCTTTATCTCCAGTCATGTTGCTAAGGTGTTGAAGGTCCATTGTTGTCGGTGCAGCTGCAGCGCTTGGCAAACCTACGGATAGCGTTCCGATACCTCAGTAAGGATTCGTTTAAGACTCTGTATACCATCTACGTCAGGCCCATACTGGAGTATGCAGCACCAGTTTGGAATCCACACCTAGTCAAGCACGTCAAGAAATTAGAGAAAGTGCAAAGGTTTACAATAAGACTAGTCCCAGAGCTACGGGGATTGTCCTATGAAGAAAGGTTGAGGGAAATCGGCCTGACGACACTGGAGGACAGGAGGGTCAGGGGAGACATGATAACGACATATAAAATACTGCGCGGAATAGACGAGGTGGACAAAGACGGGATGTTCCAGAGATGGGACACAGACACAAGAGGTCACAATTGGAAGTTGAAGACTCAGATGAATCAAAGGGATGTTAGGAAGTATTTCTTCAGTCATAGAGTAGTCAGGCCATGGAATAGCCTAGAAGGTGATGTGGTAGAGGCAGGAACCATACATAGTTTTAAGGCGAGGTATGATAGAGCTCATGGGGCAGGGAGAGAGAGGACCTAGTAGCAATTAGCGAAGAGGCGGGGCCAGGAGCTGTGAATCGACCCCTGCAACCACAAATAGGTAAGTACAAATAGGTGAGTACACACACACACACACACACACACACACACACACACACACACACACACACACATATGCACACATGTGGTAATGCTTTATTTACAGCTAGCAAAGTCAGGGTATTTCTCCAGAATGGTCTGCAATATACCACTGTGGATAAAGTACTTTGCCATTTCTTGAACACTTCTGAGTGAGTTGTTTCTAAATTCATTAATTTTATCGCACTCCAGTACATAATGACGCAAGGTGTGACAATAGTCCATCTGGCAAAGTTTACATTTCGTTTGGTCTACATCTGGTGGTGGTGATTTAACCTGCCAAAGATACTTGTAACCCAGCCGGAGCCGGGCAGTAGTGACATCCAAGAGTCTGCTTATTTTGTTGGATGCACCATAGACATGTGGCTCCTCCTGCATGATAGAATGATGATAGATGGACTCACTGGTGTCAATCTCCCTGAGCCTTAAGTCCATAAATTTCAGCTGAAGTTCTTTTCGTATTATTGTTCTCAAACTACTACTTGACAAGCCAAGATTGTAATCTACTCCCTCTTTGAAAGCATACAGCTTAGCCAATTTATCAGTTCTATCATGCATCTGGCGTCAAAACAAGAGAAAAATATGGATCTTTTGAAGACGTGATTCACCGGTGCCACCAATGTAGCATATATATATATATATATATATATAAAAAATAATATATAGGGAAGTACCACCTCTATGGCTGGAATGGGGACCCTCATCCTCAGAGAAGACAATAAACGTACCTCAGAGAAAACTCAAGGTTCTC